TATATATACTGTATATATACATAAAGGAAACTGAAAAGTTTGACATACCTAACAAAACAGTACTGTTCTTATTGTTCAGATGAGTTTCAGGGACTCCAGCATTAGCGGCCATACTTCTGTAGTGAAGACAGAAATCACCATATGAATCASTGCAATCAAATAGGCTGTTCTATTCAAGACAAGTCTACATTCTGAAAGGAATGTTAATGAAAGTAGTCTATTACAGCTAAACTAGTCTGGATGCTCTAAAGGCTAATTATATAAGCCCCGTAGATCATCAGAGGTGATGTTACAGCCACTAAGACATACCCGGACAGCATAATAGACTAATACTATGGCCACAGGTTTACACACACGCACACACACAATTAACTGCAGCATTAGCATAAACCAGTCAGTGGAGGCAAAGACGGCAGGATCAACATCATCCATATCATTAAAAATTACACTTGAAAATGGCTCACCACAGCAGGCTCATAAATTGCATGCACAAGAATACACACTCACAGATAAGGGATTAGAGTGACAGACTTCAGCATCAGCACAAAATCCAGTTGTGCTCTAAAAACATGAGCTAAAATGAATAAAATAATGAAAAAAAAAACAGAATACAGTGTATTGTTTCTGAGATTATACATTTGTTTTTTTTAAATAATATTTATATAAAGAGAACAAGTTTTATGGTATTGCTTTGTTAGTATTGGCTTAATCCAAACCTTTTATTTTTGGGAAATATGTCAGTGGGGCATTTGCTGAGAAACTCAGCAAGTGATGCTCTGCTACTGTATGAGCTTTATTTGCATTATTTCATAAAATGTTTGACTGAAGCATGCAATCAGCTGACACTGTTATAAATGTCCACATTAAACTATATAATTCTAATTAGTTATTTTAATTTTTATTCTTTTGGAGATGAGTGCAAATATCTTGTACTCTCACAGGGTGGAGTTTGGGAATTTTATTATCCCTACAAAACAGGAGCAAAATTAGCAACAACATTTAAAAAGGTAGACACCACATCATGATGTTCTTTGTAAGTTTAATAAGACATTTACTTTAAAACGTGTTTACCCAACAAATTGCACAGGTAGTTATACCACTTGACCAGTGTTCAACTCATATTGGCCCCATTTTTTTCACTTTTTAATTWATTTATTTTTATTCTTCAGAACTGCAAGATGGTCTCAGGTAACTTTCTTTTTCTGTACTCGTTTTAAAAGATAGCACACTTCTCTGATCTTCAAGCTGACTCTTCCTCTGGAGGGAAGCCAGGCCCAAACTAAACTTCCTTTAAGCCCTCTTGATTGGCATACCCTGCCATTTTTTTCTCCTGTGCAGCAAAAAAATTAAATAAATAAATAAATAAAATAAATAAATAAAATAAAAAAAACTTACAAAAGCCTCCCTTGTCAGCTGGACACATCTAGTACTGCTGACTATTAGCTGTTCCAAGCTATTTTTGTGTTTCCTACCTGTCAGTGAAAAACTCGAATCTGGCAATTAGCAGACAGATAGGTCCCTATACATTTATTACATTTTTTTACTCAACATGGATGATTGTATCTAGTATACATAAATAATATGCATTTTTAATCAGATGTTAAACTGTTTGATTTTCAATCTGGTATTAGGAAGTGAGGACTCATCTGAATCATTTTTTTATACTTTTGAACTTAGTAAGTTAGTCAAATTGTAATAAAATATGGACCTATAAATTCTACTTCAGCCTAAAAAAATGTGATGTGTGTACTGCTAAGAAAGTGTGCAAGTCATCCACAATAAATTTTGTGACAACTGGGTGAGACACTTTTTTTTACTCTTGTCTCACTTCTTCTCCCTTTGCAGCAAATGTGGAGCGTTAGCTGCCAAGTCAAGCTTTTAGTAGCCAGAACGCTAAGACTAATGGTTCAGTCTAAGAAGAAGGAAATCAGAGCTTTTTAATCTTTACTTGATATAAAAAAATAGAAGAAAACACAACAACTTATTTTTTTTATATTTTGTGAATTTATTTTTTAGTTGTTCCACTTCCACTTTTTTAAGACAACATGAACATGTGCATTGACAACAATATTCATTTATTTGATGTTCAGTGTGAATCACTCAAACCTGACAGTATAAAAAATACATTAATAGTTGATGCTTAGAAATAAAAATAAATTGTTCTTACAGCGGAAGATATATATTTTTTAAATTTTCAATCCTACACATGACGCATCAGAAGCCAGTGATCAAACCACTGCTCGTCCCACTCCATCCTTTGAGCCAAAGGGTGTTTGCTACGACAACAGCCAAAACAACATTAGTATCCTCTTGCTCATGTTTTTTTTTTTTTTCTTATTTGTGGACAAACCTTGGGAGAGAGTTTCATTTCACCTGATTTACTGTATATCACGTCTAACTTTAAAAATAACTATTTTATATCCTTCTTTTTAATTTTGTGAAATGACTGTTCATCTTTTTAAATGGGTTGTGCCAATTTAGAACAAAGCACCATGTAGTGCACTTAGTAAGTTCTGAGATCTTCATTGAGTTATGAAGATAAGAAACACAACAGTTTAGGTTTTATTCATTTTCAAACAGTTTCCTGTTTCCAGTCTCATTTCTCGAGTCTTGTTCAACAGTATGTCAGATTTTCAAAAGATGGACAGCAAGCAAACATCCACTTAATTTCTTCTAGACTGATTAAAAATGGAAAAACCTTTTAGAATGATTAAACCCGTTGAAAAGTGTGCCTGTTATGCTCTTCAACCAGCACTTCAGATAGGATTTAGTCTTTATATTTATGTCACGTCTTTGTGTTTAGTTATTCRCTACTATTTGTTATTTGAGATTTTCAGAGTAAATTTATGAATTCATTCTTTAAACAGAGCTCCGACTTCAATTACRGAGCAGGCTTTTAGGATTAACTTATATGGAGCACGGTGCCGTTTTCCTGCATTTGAGCCAATAAAGAGTTTAATGTATTTTAGGTGAAACACTTACTGTAATTAGCCTCATCATTCACATACTAAGTTGCAATATAAAACATTTAAAATTTACTATAAACTCGTAGTTTTGTTTTGACCCATCACAAATCAAGATTTTATATTTCCCAGCTATCAAGAGCACTAACAGTCATTCAAATATGGCAAACAACTGGAATCCAGTTACACTTCCAGTCTAAGGAACTATTGTTTGATGGCCTTAATCAATAACTGGGGGACTGGTATTCCTTACGTTGTGGGACAGTTTTATTTATTTTTTTTTTGCATACACACCAATTTGTAGAGACCTAATGTTACTTATTGGGAACTGATTGATAMTATGGGGGCCTGAGTCTAGTCTCCATGAGGGGAAACGCCACTGGTGTGTCTGGTTTTAAGTGTAGGACTAAGGCGTGAATTGAGTTTAGGTTAGTTTTAAGGTCATGTAGGTACCTGTGAGGTTAGCCTTAGTTTTGGTGGGCAGGGTTAAGCTGTAGAAATTRATGTAAGTCAATGCCAGGTCCCCATAAAGATAGCTGTGCCAGATTGTGTGTGTGTGAGTACTTGTTTTTGTTACCTATTTAGATCTCTTACTAGTATACACATCTATCATTTGGTTAAAAATCACTGAATCCTTTTCAGATAATTTTCTTCAGTGTTAAAAAAGAAAAAAAAGTCTTGCATCACATGATAAGACTTCAGCTGCTGCATCTCAGCATTTATGCAAAAAATAATAATAATAATAATGGTGCCAATATAAAAAATCTTAGATGGTATCCGAAGGAGAACSTCCTTTGTTGCTTCAACAAATTCCATTTGAAATGGGTTTGAGCAATGTTTTTTGCTGTATGCATACATTTGATAATCTTTCTGAATGCGAGGTTTGTACTGATGTGACACATTAAACTTGTCTTTACAAAAGTAGGTACTGTGGAATTTTGTTTCTTGTTATAAAAAAGACAATATTTATATATAAATTTAATATACTAATCATTCCATCTAAGCTTTACATTTTTGTGTTTAAGCCAATGCCAAATACAGGTTCTCTTAAWTGWAGGGGAAAAAAAAACTATTATTACAACCTGAAACCTATTCATTTCAGTCAGCAATAGAAAAAAGGGGGTTCCAAAGCAAATAACCAAAGTGAAATTTTAACTGCATTCTCAAAAAAATGAGCAAAATTTGGAGCTGTTGTGTCAATAATAAGTTTTGAAATTGTGCAAAAATGCAACTTGGCATTTTCTGTTTTGTTTTTGTAATAAAAAAAATGTCTTGAACCTTTTTTCTATAAAAAACACATTTTATTACAGGGGAACATGACAGAATAATAGTCCAATTACCATCTCAGCAGCTGTAATTTTTTTTTGTTGTAATGTCAGCCCAAATAAACAAACACAAAATAATGCAAAACACTGTAATTAGCAGACCTTTTATAGATGTTGGGTATTAGGCTTTTGTTTTGAAGAGGAAAAAAAGAGAATGAGGGTGTTTTGAGCTTCATCAGAACTCAGAGGGGATTTATAAATTGTTAAAATACTTTAGAATACTTCAGTGGCTTTTAATGTTTTATTCATGAAATAGACCACTGTGAGAACTGCCAGAAGTGTAGTTTTCTTGCAAATGAATTTATTGTGATAGTCTCCATAATTAATGCACTGCCACTGTAATTAATACAGTTTTAGTGTTATATATTGTATAATTCCAGAGTAAGCAGGTGTTTATTTATTTATTTATTTTCTCTTTGTTTTCTTTTTTGTAACCCACCAGGGAATTTGCACGTTGGAAGGTGAGAAACACTGCAATCGAGAGACGGGACCTCATTCGGAACCCCCTGCCACTCATGCCTGAGTTCCAGCGCAGCGTTCGCTTGCTGGGCCGCAGACCCACAACTCAGCAGTTCATCGACACCATCATTAAGAAATATGGAACCCACATCCTCATTTCAGCCACCCTGGGAGGTAAGAGATCTTAACTTCTTTAATTTACTCACATATAAGTTGTCTTCTTCTCCTTCTTCTTTTCTATTTAAATGAGTGTTTGAACATGTATGAAATTCACACCGATAATTTGAGTGAAAACCACATTTTTACAACATTTTCAACAGAACATATTTATATAAAGACTATGTTAGGTTGTAAATTTTTGATTCATTTAGGGATGAGTAAGAATTTCTATTTTTTTCAGGTTAATACATTGAATAAACTTTCATTTTCTTGATAATTTATTTGACTGCAGCGTTAGCTAAGTTTAATCCTGTGAAAACGCGTCCTTCCTTCAGGTTGCTGAAAAACTAAAGTGCTACAAAATCACAAGAGGCTGATAGAACAAAGGCTCATTTACAAGATCAAGGGTACTGTGATCTTGGAGTGGCCACAGATAAAAGGGGTGTTTTTATTCTTATTCTTCTTCATGCATTGGCATGTACAGTACTGTGCAAATGTCTCCAACGACCCCAGATTTCACTGTTTTGCCTTAACGTAGTGAAATAGTTTTCTATGATGCAGTTGTGTTTAACGCTTTTTTCAAACTTTATGCAAGTCTATTTGAATTTCCTTATGTCTCCATTCATTCAAATCCAGTCCTTACACAAATTCATTTTAAAAGGAATTTGGAAGWTTTGCTTTTATTTCATTTGATTTGTTTATATGGTGTAAATTCATACAAAAAATGCAATTGATCCAATTCAAATGGAAGTGAATATGATAATAAATAACTTTTTTAGTTTAGCTTAATCAAACCAAAGTAAACCTGCAACAATATGTTTCATAAAGCACTTTTAACATTTTAAATTTAGAAAAAAAAAACAATCATTTTGGAGTGGATAAAATATATGGTGACACTGACATTCAAACTTGACAAAAAAGAGGTTTGGATGTTAGATAAGTCTAAACCTTACAAAATAAATACCTGTGATTTATCTGCAATTGCCGTATTTAAGGTAGGTGACAATAAATGCCTTTGATGGATGCTCCTATAGTGTGTTTTTGGCTGTCCTTTCCAAAATAAAAGTTAAGCATCTCGGCTGTTCAAGACTAAATATAAATGACTCCTCCATATCTCTTATCTTATCTCAAGCTCTAAGTGATGCATGAAGGCAGCTGTGATTAGTTTGGCAAATGCTTTTCGAAGCTATGATTAGTAAGATAGCCCACTCTGTTCTTTAGACTCTGCTTTACATAATTTCATGCATGATTGCTAAGTATGCTACTAACCTGAGTGGTGTTAAATGTTTTGTTTTATAAGCTCAAAAGCAATGTGCTTAAAAGAAAACAAAATCTTAACAGTTTATGTAATGCTTTTTCTCAATAACACCTAGATCAATAGCTCTATTTTTACTGAAGATAATCTATGTTAGATTTATGTATTTAAATTATGATTAAACCAACAAAAATGCTATCACTTAAAAACCTAAAAGTATTTTGGGGACCATGATTTATAAGTGTTAATAATGCTTTAAGACTAGGATAAGTAAACAGATATTAAGAAAAATAATTTGGTCAGATTTAATTTTAAAATATCATCTGATATATTGAACTTGACATTAGCCTATATGAAAATGCCTTATAACTGTTTTTTCCTAATATATAAGGTTGTGCTGCTGTACTTGTGCTGTATATGGGTGTTATTTAAACAATTTAATCAGCTCATGTTCTTTAATTAATTTTATGTTGCCTTAAAAATGAGTCAGGCTTACTTTTATTTGATATGTGTACAGTTAAACAAGATTAACTTTGAAAAATTGCTAATTTGAAACAAATCATTTGTTTTTAAAAWTATTTTTTTGGGTTAGAGTACCAGACTTAAAAAGAATATCAGTACCCAAATTGCATCACATGGATAAATATTGAGGTAAAAATGAATAAGAAAAAAAGCCTGAAGTGATTGCAGTGTCCTTTTCAACCACAGCATCCTTTTGAATCTTCTTGTATTGCATCACCTTAAGTGTTTCCTGTCTTTCTTTACATTTAACCTCTGGCTCATCTTTTCTGCTATTGGATTGTTGCCACATTTTCTTTAACCTTGGAACCTTTTGTTTCAAGTTACGCGTCAGCACACTTTTATCTCAAATCTTACTTTGGCTCAATAAAGAACACTGTCACAAAAACGTGCATGTGAGACTGGTGATACAAAAAGAAGAAGCTAAGTCTTTATGCAAATCAGTTTTTTGTGGACTTGAGTCATGGGATGGGCAGGAAAGAAATTTGTTGCTTAAAAGAAATAAAAAYGCTACAGTTGAATGCTTATGTGTCAAGAGTTTTATTGAACTATGCATTTTTTTTTTTACTGATAAGGCACTTAGAACTGTAAAAATGCAGAGATGTGGTGCTATAATTATGGCCTTTTACGAGAACTGTCCTGAAAAGTTTGGTTAAGTGCTTACAATGCTAAAAATATATACAGTATATTGCTTAGAAACCTGAAAATTTGAAGCATTGTACAGTCACATGCATCAATCAGGTGGTTTTACAGAACCACACAAATCAAGTTGTTGGTGAATGGAAAGTATGCAAATCTGTGATCATCTGTTAAAATATGTAAATTACTCTCTTCCTGGAGATGAATTAAGAATCAGTGACTACAAAGCTACAGAATAAAATCAGCATCTCCACAGTAGTGAGGTTTGTAGAATTCCTCACCAAAAAGATGGAAGGGTGGGTTCTTTGACCGCTCACATGCAGACTCTAAAAATTATGGTACATTTTCACAACAGCTGACTCCTATTGTCAAACCAATAAATCACAACACTGTTTATTTATTTATTTATTTTGTAATGACAGGCAACAAATCTGCTTATTACTTCCAYAATTCGGCTGTGACCAAGAACATGCATTGTACCCTTTTTTAACTACTAAAAAAAGCGATAATAAAATGATAGAGTCCTTCCTAAAGGCTTAGAAATGGGACAAAAAGATCTCACCGGTATTAACTCTCTGCAGGAAACAAACAGCAGTAGCTCTGTTGCAAAAATTGCAAAAAAAAAAAAGCTTATGCGTAAATTCAGACTGGAAGACTCCTTCCTCCTCACCTGCTCCATCCAATTGCTGCACCTCATGCCCAGCTGCAGTCAATCAGCATCAGATCCTCACCCTACCGCACCAATCATCTCGCTGAGATCCAGGTTAAAGGCTGATATCCAAGGATCGCCCTCTCCTCAGGCGAGTTTGACACACCTCCTCCCCGCCTCTGCCTTCAACCTCCAACTCTACTCGGCAACCAACCCTCTCTGGCCTTCACTCCACCACCAGTGACAATAATCCTAAACTTAAGCTGATAGCAAGCTCACAGCAGCGTGCAGCACCCATGTCTTCTGCCAAAGAACCTTCTTTTGTCAATAAAACTGTTTAATTGTTATCTTCTGTGTGTGAGTCTTTCCAGGTTGAAATAATAGTAGCTTAGCTGTGGTAAAAATCTGTCTACGTAAGACTAAAATAAAGAAAATATGTCAGCAATGTCAGCAAATCAGAATAGTGCACAATTGGTCAGACATTTTCAGTCCACCTGTTATTTTTTTTACAGTTTTCTTTAAGAATAATACCATATGATGAATGGATGCAGTGAGCTACATTGCCAGAGGTGTTAAACACTATTTATGAAAGTTAGTAGCAGTGCATCCTGTCCTGTTAGACGGGACTGTATTTTATTGTATTGCTGCTACGAAATTACCACATCGGTGGCAAAATAAAAAGTACATTGTAGTTTATATATATATATA